TTCACTCTCTCACTCACACCTAGGGACAATTTAGAGTTACCAATCAGTCTAACATGCATGTTTTTGGTCTGTGGGAGGAAACTGGAGTACCTGGAGAAAACCCACACATGCACAGAGACAACATGCAAACTCCTCCCAGAAAGGCCCTCAGCTGGGATTTGAACTGGCAACCTTCTTGCTGAGAGGCAACAGCTCTACTAACTGCCATTGTGCTGCCCTGCTGCCTACAGTTTAGATTTTTATTAATTATTTTATCATGGTTTTAAGGTTTTGCATAGTGACAGATGGTTTGATGCTTAGTTTCAAGGATTCAAATCTGTCTGCCTGTGTTCTTGAGAGTGCTGTCAAGGAGTGGTAGACACAGGTGTGTAGTTACCATGAAGACCCAAATGAGTCACTGGCAGCAACATTATTATTTTACTTTGTAAAATACACATCTATATGCAATAGAGTTAAGTCAGGTCCTCTGGATGTTTTTTTTTTTTTGGTTGAAATGCTTCTTCTTTCATCCAAAAAACTTCATCAGTCCGAGAAGCTGCAACAAACTCGGTCTTAAAAGCACCTTCACATAGTGGGTCAACCTGTTTGATGGTGCTAAGATGGTTTCTGGAGTCCACCCTCTCCCCCACTGACTCATCTGAGGCAGTCATGGTCAAAGTGGGTGTGCTGTGGCTCCGTGGAATGATAAGGTCTTTTGGATGAAAAACAAAACGTTTCAACAAAAAGAAACTATGTGAGTGCAGCTACAGTGTGCGCTCTCAGGACATTATTACCTACAGTCTTCCCTCAGTGAGGACTGAACTAGACAAAAAGACTTTCTCCTACTCCGCTCCTGTTTCCTGGAATATCTTGCAAAAATATCTGAAGCTCTCGACCTTGACCTCTCTAAGTGGCTTTAAACATCTGATAAGTTCCTGGAAAAACCAACGCAGACATGTTCCTGTTTTTAGTTTTTCACACCGCCTTATATAATCTAGCAGGTTTTTTTTTTTTTTTTTGGTTTGTTTGTTTGTTTGCTTTTTGCTGGTGTGTGAGGTTGAGAGGTTCCAGCTTGAAATAGGTGGAATCACCTCTACGCATGGCTCTGGCTCTGGAACCAGTTTCCTTGAGAGGGGCTGGACACTCTTCCACTCTGGAGTTGCCCCTGGTGAGAGGTGCCGAGCAGGAGTGGGCATACTTATTGCCCCCCCATCTTGGTGCCTGTGTGTTGGGGTTCACCCCGGTGAATGAGAGGGTGGCCTCCCTCCGCCTACGTGTGGGGGGACGGGTTCTGACTGTCGTTTGTGCTTATGCACCAAACGGCAGTTCAGATTATCCACCCTTTTTGGAGTCCTTGGAGGGGTACTGGAAAGTGCACCTCCTGGGGACTCCCTTGTTTTGCTGGGGGACTTCAGTGCTCATGTGGGCAGAGAACTGGAGGGGTGTGGTTGGGAGGAACGCCCCCCCCCCCCCCTGAACCCGTCTGGTGTTCTGTTGTTGGACTTCTGTGCTCGTCATGGATTGTCAATAGAGAACACCATGTTCAAGCATAAGGGTGTCCATATGTGCTCTTGGCACCAGGACACCCTAGGCCGCAGTTCGATGATCGACTTTGACGTCGTCTCATCTGATCTGCGGCCACATGTCTTGGACACTCAAGTGAAGAGAGGGGCAGAGCTGTCCACTGATCACTACCTGGTAGTGAGTTGGCTCCGATGGTGGGGGAGGATGCCAGTCAGACCTGGCAGACCCAAACGTGTTGTGAGGGTTTGCTGGGAACATCTGGCAGAGTCTCTTGTGAGACGGAGTTTTAACTCCCACCTCTGGGAGAACTTAGAACATTTTCTGGGGGAGGTGGGGGACATTGAGTCCAAGTGGGCCTTGTTCCATGCCTATATTGTCGAGGCGGCTTACCGGAGCTGCGGCCGCAAGGTTGTTGGTGCCTGTCGTGGCGGCAACCCTCGAATCCAGTGGTGGACACCGTCAGTGAGGGATGCTGTCAGGCTGAAGAAAGAGTCCTATCGAGTCTTTTAGGCCTGTGGGACTCCAGAAGCAGCTGAGGGGTACTGGCAGTCCAAGTGACATGTGGCTCGGGTGGTCGCTAAGGTAAAAATTCGGGCATGGGAGGAGTTTGAAGAGGCCATGGAGAATGACTTCCGCACGGCTTCTAGGAAATTCTGGTCCACCATCTAGCATCTCAGGGATGGAAAGCGGTATGCCACCAACACTGTTTATAGTGGGAGTGGTGCACTGCTGACATCAACTCGGGATGTCGTGGGTCGATGGGCAGAATACTTTGAAGACCTCCTCAATCCCACCGGCACATCTTCCACTGAGGAAGCGGAGCCTGGGGACTCTGGGTCGGGCCCTCCAATCTCTGCTACAGAGGTTACCTAGGTGGTTGAAAAGCTCCTCGGCGGCAGGGCCGCAGGGGTGGATGAGATTTGCCCGGAGTTCCTTAAGGCTCTGGATGTTGTAGGGTTGTGTTGGCTTACGCGACTCTGCAATATTGCATCGACATTGGGGTAAGTTCCACTGGATTGGCAGACTGAGGTGATGGTCCCCCTATTCAAAAAGGGGGGTATGGGGTACCGGGCCCTTTGATATGGGCTGTTAGGTCCCTGTATGACTGGTGTCAGAGCCTGGTCCGCATTGTTGGCAGTAAGTTGGGCTTGTTCCCGGTGAGAGTTGGACTCCGCCAAGGTTGCCCTTTGTCACCGATTCTGTTCATAACTTTTATGGACAGAATTTCTAGGTGCAGCCAAGGTGTTGAAGGGATCCGTTTTGGTGGCCTTAGGATTGCGTCTCTGCTTTTTGCTGATGATGTGGTCCTATTGGCTTCATCATATCGTGATCTACAGCTTTCGCTGGAGCGATTTGCAGCCGAGTGCAACGCGGCTGGGATGAGGATCAGTTCTTCCAAATCTGAGGCCATGGTCTTCAGCCGGAAAAGGGTAGAGTGCCATCTCTGGGTCAGGGAGGAGGTCCTGCCCCAAGTGGAGGAGTTCAAGTATCTTGGGGTCTTGTTCACGAATGAGGGAAAAATGGAGCGTGAGATCGATAGGCGGATAGGTGCAGCATCTGCAGTGAAGCGGGCGCTGTACAGGTCTGTCGTGGTGAAGAGAGAGCTGAGTCAAAAGGCGAAGCTCTCAATTTACCGATTGATCTATGTTCCCACCCTCATCTATGGTCATGAGCTTTGGGTTGTGACCGAAAGAACGAGATCTCGGATACAAGCGGCCGAAATGAGTTTTCTCTGCAGGGTGTCTGGGCTCTCCCTTAGAGATAGGGTGAGAAGCTCGATCATCCGGGAGAGACTCAGAGTAGAGCCACTGCCTCTCCATGTCGAGAGGAGCCAGTTGAGGTGGCTTGGGCATCTGTTTAGGATGCCTCCTGGACGCCTCCCTGGTGAGGTGTTCCGGACACGTCCCATCGGGAGGAGGCCCAGAGGAAGACCCAAGCCACGCTGGAGGGACTATGTTTCTCGGCTGGCCTTGGAATGCCTCGGGATTCCCCCGGAGGAGCTGGACCAAGTGGCTGGGGAGAGGGAAGTCTGGGCCTCCCTACTTAGGCTGCTACCCCCGCAACCCGACCCCGGATAAGCGGAAGAAAATGGATGGATGGATGAATGGATGTTTGCTTTTTCTTATTGCTACTTTTCCTTTTGACTGTCCTTTTGGTTGCTATTTTGTTTTGATTTGTTTAAAAAAAGTAATTTAAAATTTGTACGCCTCTTTTGTGACTGTCTATTGTTGTTGTTGTTGTCCACTGTTGTCATCACTCTTTTTCAGGTCTCTCGTAAATGAGTCCCCGAGGCTCACTGGGATTAACCTGTCTAAATAAAGGTTGAATGAATGAATGAATGAAACCGTCCAGAGCACCAGACTTTGCTGGATTTTTTATCTGGATTATTGAGCATGAACTTTGATGCTTCCCTGTGTGGTTAATCCATTAAAACATTTTATCAGCTCAAATCCCAAAAAATCTGTTGGGCCTCTGAGACGAGCTTTGTCGGATGTTGGGATTTGGAGTACTAGCTGTGTTGGCACTCATCAAAATTTCTTCAGTTCTCTAGTATTTTACTGACATGTTCAAATAAAATCATACTATTGGGAACCAAAGATTTTTATGGAACTATTCCCCTAAATGTTGTCCTGAGCAGGGTTTATTCAAGCTGCTGTCACATCTATTTGAGAGTCAGACGTTCACGTGTCCAGCTTCAGTAAGACTGTGCTCTCTGCTGCCTGTTTTTGTCAGAAACATGTACCTAACTGGCTCCAGAGCACCAGGATCTACCACTGGCCCAGCGACACCCAGGACCTGCTGCTGCGCCTGCTCAGGGAAGAACGCTACATCATCCCACAGCGAGGCACCTACCTCACCCTCACTGTCCGTCCTCTCTAACAACCTGCAGAACGGGACTCATGGAAGACAGGCTGACGGTCAAAACCTCAGTGCAGGTTTACTTAAAGGGAGCTTAGCTCTAGTCTCTTTTTTATTTGGACTTTTTTTTCAGTTTGGTACGATTATGATATATGGTACCTACATTGTTTTATGATTTTACTCCTCATAACAGATGAAAAGTGACTAAAAGTTTGCAACAGTGGAAATAAATGACTCCCTTTTAACAGGAAAAGAACTCCAACAGAACCAGACAGACTCATGATGGGTAGTTATCTGCTTTGACTGGCTGGGATTCAAGAGGACAGAAAAGAGATGGAAACAAAAACACAAGCATTCGTTCAAGATTACTGTAATGTCCGCACTGTTGAGTGCACCTGAATATTACCAGCGCCCACTAAATTAAAAAAAGGACATATATAATCCGCAGGTGTCCACATTGTAACACAGAAAGATTTTTTTTAACCTTTTGTGTGTGTGTGTGTGTGTGTGTGCGTGCGTGCGTGCGCGCGCGTGCGTGTATTTAAAGACTAGACTATATTAGGTAATGCAAGTAAACCTTTGATTTTTTTTTGGCACAAGATATTCAAGTGGGTAGGTGTTACACAGTTATAACAAAAAAATTTACTTTTTTTTTTAATTTCTTGATTGAGGTGGTACAGAATGAGTAAATTTACCCCCCCCCCCCCCCCCACACACACACACCAGGTGCAATGGCAAAGTCATATAGTGGCTAATGGTGGTCTTGACCACCATAGATTATTATTCAGCCACCGCAATAATTTTATTTTTAAACAAAAGTATTATTTATATATATATTTTTTTTCAATTTTGAACATAGAACAAGACCGGATCAGTCAAAACTACACAAACAAATTACACAGGCAGTGACATGCTCTCAACAAACAATATAAATGGCAGCCAAGTGTCCCAAAACCTCTGTACAGAGCCCTTAAAAGTGTATCTTACCTTCTTCAATGAATATGACACATCACCTCTCTTAACCAATGTACATACGACGGGGAATGTGGGTCCTTCCAGTTACACAATATTAGCCTCCTAGCCAGAAGAGAGCCACTTCTCACATTTGCTGAAGGATGTATCCACTGGGACCACCCCGAACAGTGAGATAAGTGGTGATGGAAGTACAGTCTTACCACATATACCAGAGAAGGTGTCAAATATAGATTGCCAAAAAGTCTGCAGTTTGGGAAAGGTCCAGAATGTATGCAGGAGTGTAGCTGGACTTTGTTTGCAACGATTGCATGCAGGGTCCAGGTCAGCTTTAATCTTTAATAGCTTGTCTTTAGACCAGTGCAGCCTGTTCAGTACCTTGAATTGGATTACAGCATTCTCAGGCAGATTGAAGACAAGTGAATGTTCTTAATGATTTCAAAAAGCGTTCAATACAAAAACAACTGGACTTTATTTGTAACAGAAGACGTTTCGCTCCTCATCCGAGGAGCTTTCTCAATTCAAAGAGCAGAGAGTGAGAGATACAGGTTATAAGGCTGAGTGAGATAAGACACACACACACACACATAAGACACACACACACATATATATGTATATTGGCAGTTCACACCTAAAACCTAACACAGTAGGTCTTTGTTCCTCTAATTCACAGACGAGGCCCCTCAGGTTCCAGGTTCTTAATGATCCTTTCCCAGATTGAGTCTGATATGGGTTCCTCTATGTCCGCCTCCTATTTCAATTTAAGGTAGTCCAAACTTAACTCATAGTATGAACTGAGCATTGTATAAAATTTGCTGAGGGTCCTCTAATGCCCCTTTTCCATTAGTACCGGTACGGGCCGACTGGACCCTACTTTTTCCAGTTCTGAGGCTTTTCCATTAGTACTGGTACTTAGCACCTGTTACTATTTTCAGTACCCTTGGCTCTGTGGTTCTAACCCGAACAAAGAGGTACTAAAACATGACGTCAGAACACTGTCGGTCACTGATTGGTCGGGGGCGGAGTCGGGGGCGGAGTCACTGGATCCTTCAGAAACTTTTCAAAACAATGATCCGCCATTTGCAATTTCTCGGACTGGAGCAGCGGCTGGACTTATTTTAAACATTTTAAAAACGATACTGACAACATCTTGGTCTAATGCTGATGTGCTGGCATTTTTTGTGCTTGGTGGCCGACAACATAATTCAGAGCGAGCTGGATGGAGCTCTGCTGGTGTAATCTGATCATTCCCCCCGGAGCCTCGGAGCGCCAGACCAGGCAGGGCGTCATCTCCCCGACTCCGAGTTCCGCGGGTCACAGCGGAAGATCCTTCGATGAGCCGACTCGGAGGCTCGGGTTCCGGATACCAGCCTTGTGTGCTCAGAGCTCCGCTGGTCACTGCGACGCTGGAGATGGGGACTCACAGATGGCCGTTGTGAGACCCCGGCCGCGCGTAATCATGAAGGCTGAATCCCGATCCCACCCGGCAGTCAGGCGGACTGGACAGTCTGGGACGGACAGTGGAAACGATTTTTAAATAAATTAATATTTTGTTTTTATACAAAAAATGTTTTTAAAAAATTGCTGAAGCGATTTAAAATTTTTTTTTTTTTTTACACGTAAAATGTTTTTTAAAATCGCTTCCACCGTTCGTCGCAGACCCGTCTCTGTCCGCCTGTCTGCGCGGGTCGGGTCTTCATGATTACGCGCGGCTGGGGTCTTGGAACGACCTTCTGTGAGTGACCAGCTGAGCTGGAGCTGGGAGGATGAGCCTGCCCGTCCTGTCTCTGGAGGAGAGGGTCGTGTGAGACCAGCAGAGCTGGTCATAAAATAATAATAATATATATATATATATATATATATATATTAGCGTTGAAGATTAAAAAAATAATAAAATAAACGGTGCCAGCTTCATCATGAAATCCTGTTTTCACTTTAATGACTGTTAACTCAGCTAAAAATCATAAAAACACAAAAAACTATTGGATCTCAGGAATATTTCCCTCAAACATGTTTAAAGAAAAGAGACAACCTTCAGTTCAACTTTATTTTAACCCACAAATGTACAAATCACAAAACAAGAACTTTAAAGCAAAGCTAAAAATAAAATGTATATATGTGAACAAGAAAGGAAACCACACATCTAAAATGAACAATAAAAGTAGACACAATGAATGCAAATACATCAAATGATGATGAAAACCTATAAAAATTTAAATCTAGATGTTTTTGTAGAATCTGGTTCATCAGAGTTTTAATTGCTATACATACAGGTCCTTCTCAAAAAATTAGCATATTGTGATAGAGGTCTTATTTTCCATAATGTAATGATAAAAATGAAACTTTCATATATTTCAGATTCATTGCACACCAACTGAAATATTTCAGGTCTTTAATTGTTTTAATACTGATGATTATGGCATACAGCTCATGAAAACCCAAAATGCCTGTCCCAAAAAATTAGCATATTTCATCCCACCAATGAAAGACAAGTGTTTTTAATACAAAAAACGCCAACCTTCAAATAATCATGTTCAGTTATGCACTCAATACTTGGTCGGGAATCCTTTTGCATGAATGACTGCTTCAATGCGGCGTGGCATGGAGGCAATCAGCCTGTGGCACTGCTGAGGTGTTATGGAGGCCCAGGATGCTTCGATAGCGCCCTTAAGCTCATCCAGAGTGTTGGGTCTTGTTCTCTCAACTTTCTCTTCACAATATCCCACAGGTTCTCTATGGGGCTCAGGTCAGGAGAGTTTGCAGGCCAATTGAGCACAGTAATACCATGGTCAGTAAACCATTTACCAGTGGTTTTGGCACTGTGAGCAGGTGCCAGGTCGTGCTGAAAAATGAAATCTTCATCTCCATAAAGCTTTTCAGCAGATGGAAGCATGAAGTGCTCCAAAATCTCCTGATAGCTAGCTGCATTGACCCTGCCCTTGATAAAACACAGTGGACCAACACCAGCAGCTGACATGACACCCCAGTGACTGTGGAAACTTGACACTGGACCTCAAGCAATGTGAATTCTGTGTCTCCTCTCTTCCTCCAGACTCTTGGACCTTGATTTCCAAAGGAAATGCAAAATTTACTGTAATCAGAGAACATAACTTTGGACCACTCAGCAGCAGTCCCAGGTGAGATGCTTCTGACGCAGTCTCTGGTTCAAAAGTGGCTTGACCTGGGGAATGTAGCACCTGTAGCCCATTTCCTGCACACGCCTGTGCACGGTGGCTCTGGATGTTTCTATTCCAGACTCAGTCCACTGCTTCCGCAGGTCCCCCAAGGTCTGGAATCGGCCCTTCTCCACAATCCTCCTCAGGGTCCGGTCACCTCTTCTCGTTGTGCAGCGTTTTCTGCCACACTTTTCCCTTCCCACAGACTTCCCACTGAGGTGCCTTGATACAGCACTCTGGGAACAGCCTATTCGTTCAGCAATTTCTTTCTGTGTCTTACCCTCTTGCTTGAGGGTGTCAATGATGGCCTTCTGAACAGCATTCAGGTCGGCAGTCTTACCCATGATTGTGGTTTTGAGTAATGAACAAGGCTGGGAGTTTTTAAAAGCCTCAGGAATCTTTTGCAGGTGTTTAGAGTTACATTGTTGATTCAGATGGTTAGGTTAATATAAATCAATCAATCAACCTTTATTTAGACAGGTAAATCCCATTGAGCCTCGAGGACTCATTTACAAGAGAGACCTGATTTCAACAAAGAAAGATGACAACAATGGACAACAGCAACAACAATAAGCAGTTATAAAAACTCATACTACAGTTTTTTTTTTTTTTTTTTTTTTTTAACAAATAGGATGGCTAAAAGGAAAAAGGTAACAAAACAAAAAAACAGCTAGATTCCAAGACAAATGTATAAAACTAAAAACAGGAACATGTCTGCATTAATAGCTTGTTTAGAGAACCTTTTCATGATATGCTAATTTTTTGAGACAGGCATTTTGGGTTTTCATGAGCTGTATGCCATAATCATCAGTATTAAAACAATTAAAGACCTGAAATATTTCAGTTGGTGTGCAATGAATCTGAAATATATAAAAATCTGTGGCCATTAGCGTGCGCTAACTCCATCACTGCTAGCTCCACTTCGGACAGTATCCGGGTGTGTTTAGTCAACGCAAGATCTGTTACCAACAAAACTTTTATCCTCAGATTACTTTCAGGAGCACGAGTTAGACTTTTTCAGCATCACAGAGATGTGGATGTCTCCGGGTGAGTCCAGCGCCTTGACGGAATTATTGCCACCGAACTTGTCTGTATTTTAACGCCCCGCGGCCATCAGGCCGGCGTGGTGGTAATTATTAACAATATTCAAACCAACTTTTGACTGTAAACAACTGCCCATACCAGTTTCCCATACCAGCTTTGAGCTGAGCGTCTTTGAACTCGGCCATTCACCTCAGACTTTATTTGCACTCGTCTA